CTCACAAACTTCATTTTTCTTCTTGGCTAAGGGAAGGGGCAGCATTTGTGAGCACTCAAATCTTGCAGTGTTACCCCAACTCTTCCGTCCTTGAGGAGCATGATCAGGGTCTCCTGAGAGCCGGAGCTGTCACTGGCACTGCGGTGTTGGAAGTGACTTCTCTAGAACTCTTTGGAATCAACCAGACATTCATAACTGGCGTCCAGGTAAAATCTCCCACATACGCACATTGTATCCTTGGGAATAGTCAATTATTAAAAAAAAAAAAAGACATGGACAAACACCGAGACTAAATATCTTTTTTTTTTTTAACCTTTTCCCAAAAAAAGCAGAAAAAAAAAGGTGGGTTCTTGTTTGTCTGTTTTTTTCTACAGGTGGCGCCTGTGACCTACTTAAGGATAAGTGTCAGTCCCAAACTGTATACAAGCAACAGTGTCCCACTGCATGCACTTCCCCTTGGAATGTCCTTAACCCTCACGGTCCAGTTCTACAACAACATCGGGGAGAAATTCCATGCCCAGAACACGCAGCTTTATCTCGCCCTGAACAGGTACGGTCTGGAGAGCATTGGCAGGGGGCTAGTAGAGAAATCAGAGCTCGCATGGAGTTTTTTACATCACAATAGAGATGAAAAGTTGCACCCCAAACCAGAAATGTTTGAAACCAGCTGCCAGATCTGAGAGCCATTCTGCCAAAGCAGCACTTGGATTTTTTATACATCAAATATATAACTTGGGATGTGGGGAATGTAGCCATTTTCTCTTGATTGGACATCTTTGCTTTCAGAGATGACTTGCTGCTCATTAGACCCGGGAATAAGAATTACTCGTACATAGCTCAGACTGTGAACAGAGGAGTGACGCTCCTGACGATCCAGGATGAGAAGCGCCAAGGGATGGCCGACTATATCCCTGTGCCTGTGGATTATGCCATCAGGCCAAATCTCTCAAAATCCATTGCCGTAGGAGATGTCATCTGTTTCAGCTCCCCCCTTGTCACCCAAGATGGTTTGTATGTTTTTTCCATAGTCTCCGTGTAGGTTTTTAAGTGACGAGACTCATTATTTTCTGGTTAGGTTTCAAAAACCGAGCAACATCAGATTGGCAAATTTTAATGGGAGAACTCTACGAATAGTGAGCATTTTTAAAATCAAAAGTAACCAGAGAGTCTTCCAAGGAATGTTAAAAACCTCCCATTGTGTGAGAGTTCATGTGAGCATTCTTTTTTATTCCCTGAATCCCAGAATTAACCTTTGAGATTACAATCCTAGTTTATTCAAGTAAATAACATTTACAAGCTCTCAGTCCTGGAGATTAAGCAGACAACGGATCAGTGTGATTTCCTCTGTGGGGAGAAGGCTCATGTAATGTGAATATTTAAAATAATTCATTCTGGGAGGTCTAAAAGGAAAAGACCTGTGAATTTCAGTTTACCGTATGAACTCCCTAAATACACCCAAAACGTGAGAGGCAGGTGTTTATTTTCACTACAGTAAATAAATCCTTTTCATTAGAGATCCCTCCCCAGTCACTAATCCTCCCCAGTAGAGACCACTAGGCAAAATCGAGCTTGTAAATTGGTGTTTGTAGGTGAACCTGGGCTGTGGCACATTTCCCCCCGGGATGTGCTTGAAATAGACCCTGTGAGTGGAGCAGCATTTGTTGAAAATACTGGAACAGCAACAATCTTCTATGACATCCCAGGGATAGAGAGAACGTATCGAGAGGTATTTGTCACGCTGTCGTGGGAGAAAACCAGCTTGCTGCTGTGTACCAAGAAGTATTTTTTTATATATGTAGTATTCCAGAGAATTCTGAAAGAATTGGTTGGTTTTTGTTTTGCTTAGAAGGTCTGTTGCACATGTATGTAACACAGTGTTAGGGCAGTGATTGAATTTGTTACTGGAAAGACTGCAGAGCTTTTATTGTAACCTGATGCATGACAGCTTATGTACCTCAGTATAAAAACACACCTGCAAGTAAAGGACCAGATAAAACCAAAACTGTAAGGGCTTAGTTCTCACTTGTATTAGAGATGCTTCTCGGTGCTCTCACTAGTATAAATACGACTGATTTTTTAACAATAAGATTAAATTAAGAGAGTTCTGAAGAATAGCAAAAGAAAAACTAAGCAGTAAAATTCCCTACTATGTTTTGAATCAACCAATATTTTGGACACAATTCTACTCTTATTAATATTCCAGATAATTGTCAATGGGTCCTCAAGAATAAGTCTGCAGATAGGTCAGAAAAACTATTTAACAAATATTCCAGATTCTTCTGCATTCCAAGTTCTTGTTGCCACAAGCAGTGGAAGAGAAACCCTGAAGGGTAGGAATTCATATTACAGTCATCTAGTTTATTAATAAAGCATAATTTGAGCTTTTTGCTCCCTAACTTACGTGAGCTACAACCCCCTCCCTGTAACTTCAAAGCCATGAGCTACTGTTGAGAAATCAGCTTCTGATGAGGAAACATTAGAGTGACAACTGAACCATTTTATGCATTAAGGGAAATTTCACCTTGTTTTGTTCAAGTTGCCCACTGAGAAATAGCAACTCATTTATTTATTTTCTCCTTTAGGCCCTTGCAGCTCTCTCCACTTCAGCGCAATCACAGAGCTCCTTCACCCAGAGTCTCGCTTGATATGTCAAGTAGAATTCAGCAATAATGTGCTAGATGTATCAGCAAGTGAAGTATTTCTTGTGCGGTCGGAGTTTAGCATCCAGAAAGGTGGGTATGACCTCTCAAACCGAGTGGAATACAGGGAATTTTCATGACTGTTTTTTCCCTCTGGTCATTTCTTTCCCCTTCATTTCAGACTGTCAGGTAACTCCCAAATTTGCGAAATATTTTTATGGTGATTTACTGGGACTAAGAATACATGAACGATCCCCTTGAACCCTGCACCTTCCTTGCCCTCCACCCCAGCAGCTCCTGTGAGAACCATTCACACACAAGCTGTCTGCTCACAGCAGCTTTTCACTGTCTTGAATTCAGGTCTTTACGTCTGTGTCATCACTGCTAAGCCCCAGCCTGAGGAAGTCCTCCTGGCTCTGAGTTTTGCTGATGCCCCCGTGTTCGTGACGGTCTCCGTCTCCAGCGGACAGAACGCGGGTGAAATGCAAAGACTCCAAGTTCCCTTCCTCCCTGCGTTTTATGTCAACCAGTCAGAACTAGTTTTTAGTACCAAAGAGCTAAGTGGCATGCTGAGAGTGCTGGGAGCTGAAAAAGTGTTAGAAAAACTGGAGGTACGTGGAAAGTCTTCTACCCATAGCCCTGGGCCTGGAAATACATCAATACAGACTTGTCAGAAGGCACCGGTGGAAAGAATGTGGTTTGGGGCAGACTTAGCCCTGTCTGTTAAGACAGGTGTTTAGATCATTTAAAACAATCCTGGGAAACGGACTGTTCAACAGTTTCCATATTTGAAAGCACAACTGGGTTGGGTTTTGTGCATTTTTCTTCCCTCCCTGCAGAAAATGTGTTAAGGCAACCTTACAGAAGCACATAATAGCGAGTCATAGCTAGGACTGCTTTTCCTTGTAAAGCTTTGGGGTTTTCTCTGCTTTGAAAGGTTCAGCCCAGCTCCCCTGCTCTGGTAGTGGGATATCCTCAATACTCCCTGGACATGCCTGGACTTGTCTCCTACCCGGTCACGGTGGCCAACTTGAGCTCCCTCCAGCAGAGGCCAGCACCAGCCCTCATCAACATCTCGTGCGTTCTCACAGGCCAGAGGGCTGCGGTGGCAGTGAGAGGCCTCCCGGAGGAGCCTGCACAGGGTAAACAGCCGGGGGGCTCCTTGGGCTCCAGGGATGCAGCTCAGCTCTCAAAGCCCTGCCCTAGCTGCACGATTCTGTGTTACCAAAAGCATTACTGCTCCCACCAAAACAAAAGCAGACAGCGTTCATGTCTCCACTGCCCAGCTCCCAAGCGCATCAGCCATCCCCTGTCACCAGCTGCCCGTAACAGGCAGTTAAGGGACTACTTATTCTTTGAAATTCTTACAACCATGTGGAGGCTGCCCCTACCCAGTACTCACTCTGCCCTTTAAACCGTAGGTGAATGCAGTGACATCGGAATCATTCGACAGCTCATGAGCTCTTACCAGATTCTGCTCTTCACTCTTTTCGCTGTTTTAGCCTCCACAGCTGTTATCTTCCTCAGTAAGTGAAAGACTTTAATAAAGCTTAAGGTTTTCTTAACTTTTTAATCTTCAGAGCGAGTTCTGAAGCTCTGCTTTTCCCATTGCCCTATTTTGAGCCTTAAATTGATGCACTTCTTAGGTCAAAGCTTCCTAGGTTAGACCTATTCTAGCAGCACCAGGTTGATTTTTCTTAAGCATGAAGTACTCATTCCTTTAGCTACAAATTAATCCAAAACTCAAGAGGAAAAGGGGTGACAAAGAAAACCTTTCAACTGCAGCACTCACAATAGCCTGAAGTTCAAGCAGCCGCTCTTGCACATGGCTTAAAGGTGCTCCAGGGTCTAAGCAGGTTGTTATTTCGACAGCATACAATGCTTTCCTGACCAGAGTGCAAACCGTGCCTATCGTGTACGTTCCTGCCGCTCCTGCGTCGCAGACAGGTAAACCTGCGCCTTTTTTGGTGGGGGGAAGTTCTCTCACACTGCATTTTGTCACAGTTGTATATACGTTACTATTCACACCAGCTTCCCTTTCCCTCCTTCATTTCAGAATACTCTTCTCCTGCAGGTTCCTCCCAGGGAAGAGGCAGGACTCGGCTGTGGCTCTGGAGCACGCACTGATGGGAGGACACGCGCGGAGCGGTGAACAACACGGGGCCCTGTGGTTTGCACCCAAATATAGTGAAAATATATAGGTAAAATATAGGTAAAATAAATGGAAGTCTTTGAGTTTCAGGTCAGGTGAATTACTGAGAAAACTGCTGTCTTTTTTCCTCACTGCAGGGGAAATCAGAGGGCAAAATCAAACTGATCTGCTTACATTTTATCCAAAATTTATTGACTGAGAGATGGGTGGGGCTACAGGGACAGCATGGAAGTCACATTCTCGGTTCAAATTCCAAGTTCACCTGGCTGAAGCGCTTGGGTCACTCCTGAACCAAATCCCGCGCTCTTCCTCTGCGCAGCCATCTGTGCACGTAGTCCCAGCCACCTCGGGAGCCTTTCCTTTAATGCTGCTTCCGTCTGAAGGAGCATCCTGCACGGAGAGGAGGCAGAACAGTGAGCAACTCGGCCGCCCTTTCAGCCTCTTCGGAAACGTTTCCCATCGGTTAAATCACACGTAACGCCAAGCACAGAACCCACAGATTACCACGACGTTTGCTAGCCATAAAATGGCTTTTTTTGAGGAATCGGGGCTGAGCCAGGAGCTGAAAGCAGCAGCCCGCGGCGCCCACGCGGGGAGGCACCCACCTTCTGTGAGCCTCGCCTTGCCGCCCGTGGGCTGGCACAGCACCGTGGAGCAGCCCACGCACAGCACCACGGTCTGCGCGTGGCTGAACACCGTGGTGATCTTGTAGCAACCTGCGCGGGGAGGGAGAGCGGGGAAGCGCCCGTTAACGGGGGCAAGGTCCCCGCGGGAGGCGGCGCGCGCGCCCCCGCCGCCCTACCTGGGCACTTCACGTCCATGAAGTAGGAGTTGGGGCTCTGCACGAGGCGCTTCTTCTTGTGCTTGCGCTTCTCCTCCTCGGGCGAGGGGTGCAGCAGGTCCTTGGCGAGCTGCGGGGACAGCCCCGCTCAGCGCGGCCCCGGCCGCGGCCCCGGCCCGCCCGCCATCTTGCGCCCCCGCCATCGCCTCCCGCCCGCCGCGCACAGCACATGGCGGCGCGCAGGGCCCGGCCCGGCCCGTCCCGGCCCGCGCCGCGCGCCCTGCCCGCCCCGGCCCGGTGTGGCGGCGGCCAAGGCCGCGCCGCGGGGCCCGCGCCCGCCCCGCACTCACGGGCATGTTCGCGTGGCGGCAGCCGCGACCGAAAAGGGGCCAGGCCGGAAGTGGCGGCCGCTATATCCGCTCCGGGGTTTCCCCCGCACGGGCGGAAGTGAGTGGCGGCCGTCGGGCGGCGCCATGTTGAGAAGGGCAGGCGGTGGGGAGAGGGCGCGCGGCGGCGCGGCCATGTTGGGAAGGTCTCCGCGTGGCGCGTGACGTCAGCAGGCAGCGGTTCCTCGCCGTGGCGTCACGGCGGCGGCGCTGACGTCACGGCCGCGACGATGGGGCCC